CACGTCAACAATGTTTTCTTCGGAAACTATATGGAGCCTGACGCCGACCCAAAGATCTACGATCAGGTTACCTCGCTCAATACAGCTTTTAACAAATTTCAATTCAATTGTTAGTCTGTTGTAGCAAAGAACTCATTTATCGTTACAAACGTCACCAATAAAGTTATCACTCTAGGTGTTGGACTTGGAAGACATGTCAGTTAAGATGGAATACTACTTGGATGAGTACAACGTCGTGTCGTCGTCACCCATGGCGCTGGTGATGTTCCGCTACGCGCTGGAGCACATCTCTCGGTGCACGAGAGTGCTGCTGCAAGATAACGGTAATGAGATTTAGAAAAATGTAGCTGGTATTTATTTGGATGTCAACTTAATTTATATCATTTGCAGGCAATCTGTTGCTGGTTGGTGTTGGAGGCAGCGGTCGCAGCAGCGCGGTCAAGCTCGCCGCAAATATTCTGGAAATGAACGTGGTGCAGGTTTGTATCGCTTACCAAAATATTTAGTTGAATCACGACAATACATTTGAGTAGGCGACTAGGTTTTATTATTATTATTTTTCATTTTTAAAATTCAGGAGTAGTTTAGAAGTTGCATTCACCTTGTAAATCTTTCGCTAAGTTGTCTTTAATATGTAATGTAATATAATCAGATCGAGATCTCGCGAGTATACGGGCAGACGGAGTGGCGCGATGACATTCGAAAACTACTGATGAAGGCCGGCATACTCGGCAAGCCAATCGCCTTCCTCTTCGCCGACAACCAGGCAAGTGTTTGGATCATAATAGATAAGTAATAAATGCTAGTCTACCTACAAAAGCAGTGAATGGGAGAAAGCAAACATTTTTTTTAGTTTAGGTTAGTAATTTGCATTGCAATGTTGGACAGATTATATATGAGGGCATGGTGGAGGATATCAACATGCTTCTTAACACGGGAGACATTCCTAACCTGTATGGCATGGACGAGAAGGTCGAGATCCTGGACAAGATGCAAGCTGCCGTTAGGGAGTCCGTGAGTCAACATATCCCATCTACGCTTTATATTATTTAGAAATTACCTAAAAATGTTACATAGAATTATCTTTTCCAGGGCAAGAAAATAGAAACGACGCCATTGGCTATGTTTGGTTTCTACGTCGAACGCGTGAAAGCCAACCTGCGTATCGTGCTGGCCATGTCTCCCATCGGCGATTCCTTCAGGAACCGCCTCAGGATGTTCCCCTCACTTATCAATTGTTGTACTATTGACTGGTAAGTTATTAAAACAAAACTAGTCCTTTCACATCCAGATAATGTTACCAATCGCAAGACATGTATGTACGTGTCAAGGTTCACAGCGTGGCCGGCAGAGGCGCTGGAGCGCGTGGCGTCAATGTTCATCAGTAGGATGGAGGATGTGAGCGATGAGTTGCGCGTCACCTGTGTCGACATGTGCCAGCTCTTCCACATG